CTGAACATTATCAGTGGTCAAAGCACATCCCTCGTGTTGGGCTGACAGAGCCGAGGCACCCCAGTTCAAGCACTGAGAAACGGGGCCACTGTAGGGCAGCGGCCCAGTAGCTGGCACCCCTCAGGCCCTACTATAGAAAGTTGAATGGATGTGGCCAGGCCAGGGCACATGGTTCAACGGCTGGGCAGGCCCGACCCCAGGCGTGGCCAGTGGGCAGGGACTCCAGGAGGACAGAGGGCCTGTGCTTACCGGGGTCTCCGCAGGTGGCTCTTTGGCCCCAGGCAGGTCTGGCTGGGCTCTTCCCTGGAGGCAGCTGGAGCACCTCCAAGTACCACTGCTCATTTTGTCACCGGCCGGAGGCATGCAGAGCAAGGCAGAAGGCTCGGTAGCTTCCCAAACCCAAAGCTCAGGGAGGCCTGAGGGCTCGTCCAAGTCACCCTTCCCTTTTACAGATGGGGAAACCAAGGCCCAGGCAGGAAGTGGGCAGAGCCACAGTGGAAGCGCCCGCCCGCCCAGCCAATCAGGAGAGCCAAGGATGCCCAATATTTGCCTCTGGTGAGATGGACCAGTGTTCCCACCAACAAGATCAGTGTCCCCATGGTACTTCTCAAATGAACCCCAAGAGTGCCCCACACCCCCACCTGCAGGCGCCTGTGCCTGTTGTCAGGGGCTTGGCCTGCAGGTGGGGCCTCCCTGGGCTGGTGTTTATACCCTGGACCCACCACATGGTTAAGGGCAGGAAGGAAGAGAATGGAAGAATGACGGACAGTCAGTGTCTGGGGCGGGGGAGCTGGACAGGGACCTGGGCCGAACCCCTTGTTTTAGTGCAGAGGTATCTCAGAGAGAGATGTGACCCGGTCAAGGTCACACAGCGAGCAGGGGCAGAGCCAGGGCGACAACTCCTCCTAGGCCTTCCCCGAAGACCACCATGACCTGTGATCACGGGTGGTAGAGGGCAAGGCTCTCCTGGGGGGCTGGGGAGGGTGCACCAGGAGGTAGACCGGCCCTTGGGGTGCAGCTTTGTGGCCCGACTTCACCTGGGGGTGGAGGGGTCAGCTGCTTGTGGGAGTTTGCCCGGGGGTGTGGAGTGAGAGGGGACAGGCTGCCCACTCTTTGCTTTCACCATCCATTCTGCTTCATCACCCTCAGGGCCCTGCTGGCCAGGCTGGGTGCTGGCCAGACAGTGTGACCACGCAGGGAGGTGGAGTGGGAGCAGCCTAGGCCGCAGCCCCACTGCCCAGTGACCTGAGCCAAGGCCACCCTGAAGGTGGGCCTCACTCCCCACCCGTGGAACCGAGAGACGTCCGGGAGGCCTCAGGGTCAGTGGGTGGAGGTGGCTGTGAAGCCAGGTGGGGGGTGGATGGGTGCCGCGGAGGTGACCAGCATGCCACGCTCACCTGGGGATCTCCTGGAGCGGTGGGGACAGGCAGGCCAGGTGGAAGGCTCGGGGGCAGCCGTCACAGCAGATGAGCTCCCCGCCGTCCCGGCACACGGCACACTCATCCTCGTTCTTCTGACCAGAAAGAGACCACATCCTCTGGTGGACAGGGGGTGGCCCAGCCTCCCCCCGACGGCTGCACTGCAGGTTCCCCAGGGGCACCCGGTCCCCTGGCCCCTCCGCTGCTGGCCAATGCCTGCTCCCCGGGCCTGCCCTCGACCCCTTCCATCTCTGAGATTCTAGTCCCTGCACACCTGCCAAGTCCATCTCTCTTGGGAAGAACCTTCAGAAAGCCGGGTTTCTCCTAGGTACCCACCCCCATGCTGCCCCTTCCTCACAGGGCAAGGAGGGCTAGGCCCAGAGGTGTTCCTGTTCGCCCCAGGCACCTGGTGTCCCCTCCACCTGAGGCCTCCAGTCTGCTTGTGCCCTTGCCTGCATGTACCCATGATGCCCTCCTGGATGCCACCTCCTCCAGAAGCCCCCTGAACTGCCAGGCTGGCAGCCATGCACAGCAATGAGCACGCTCATTGTAACAGTCCTCCCAGACCTGCCAGCCAAGAGCGGGCATGGGTCCTGCTGGATCCTGGGGCCCAGACAGGGCCTGGTGTGGAGGGGTTGGGATCTGGAACTAGTTCTGCCTCAGTAAGAAACGCTGCTGGGAGCCCAAAGATGTGCTTGGCACTCGGGCTCCTGGCTCCCAGCAGAGGCAACCACCACCCATGGACCAGGGACAGCTGGCACCTGGACCAAACATTTTTAAAAGCCCGGCAAGATGCACTTTCTCTGACTTATTTGAATTGTTACAATTGTGTGTCATCAGAAAAAAAGATACCATTGAGGAAAAAGAGCTCCCCCTGTGAACAGGGGCGTACGCCTGTCCTGCAGTCACTGAGTGAGTGCCCTGAACAAGTGGCAAGCCCTGGCGTCATGGGAATGAGGGCACCCTCCCCCCACCCCCACGTCTGGGAGTTACCTGGTGGAGCTGGGGCTCGCTGGGGAGGGGGAGGGGAAGGGGGGCCGGGACCCTGTCCTGCTGGCCTGCTCGTGGGTCCTCTGCAGCCTGCCAGGGAGAAGACAGGGTCACCAACAGGGGAGACAGTCCGGGCAGGGAGCCCCCGCAGCCACTGTGTGTACTGGGGGTGGGCACCAAGGAACCACGTGGCTGCACTTACAGGGGCAGCAACCTGGGGACCCTTCGCTCGGACCAGGGTCTTCAGGCCGCTGCCACTGCGGGCTTTGCTCTTCCCCCCGCTGGGGTCTTCAAACTTGCTGGGAGTGTAAACACCGCCAACCTGGATGCACTTCTGGGTGCCACCTGGGAGGAGAGGCTGACTGGCCGGCCGCCTACCCAGGTGGCCCTGCTCAGCGGCACCGCAGGCCCAGGCCAGTGGCCAGCAGGTGGCAGAGAGGCCGGGAGCTCTGCAGCTGGATGTTCCTTCTCCCCCACCCGCCCCAGTGAGGAGGGTTCTCTGCTGGGAACTGTATCGTGTGTCCCCCAAATCCATGTCCACCTGGAATGTGGGTGTGGGACCTTATTTGAAAGTAGGGTCTTCGCAGATGTAATTAGTTACAATGAGCTTGCACTGGACCCTATGTCCAATGACCGGTGTCCTTGTGAGAAGAGGAGAGGACACAGAGAGACAGGGAGGAGGCCCCATGACGACAGAGGCAGAGGCTGGAGTGACTGGACTCCAAGCCAGGGAACCAGGAAACCAGGGAACCAGGGAACGAGGATCTGGGAGAGGCAGGACAGCTTCTGCCCTGAGCCTCCTCGAGAGTGGCTTTGCAGACACCGAGATTTTGGAATTTCTGTTGCTTTACGCCACCCAGTTAGCGGTAATGTGGCCTAACAGCCCCGAGAAACCACTGCAGGGTCCTTGGGTCCCTCCCCAGTGAGACCAGGGCCCCCAGCAGCTCCGAGGGGCCAGCTGGGCCGGGCTGTCCTCTGTGTCCTCAGCTGGTGCCCAGCACAGCGGATGGAGTAAGGAGGTGCAGAGAAGGGGTGCTGCAGGCTGTCCTGCAAGAGAGCAGCCCCCTCCCCGGAGGTCTGAGCAGCACAGGCCTCCCACAAGCCTCAGACTTGTAAGCTGAGGACGTTCAAGGAGGTGAGCCCGTGATCCTAAAGTGGCCCGTCCAGGTGGATGGAGGTGATCCAGGGTGTGGCCCTGGACTGCTGGCCTCTCAGACGTCCCCTGGCCTGCTTGTTCAGGAGCCCCCACCCCACCTCGGGGAGCCCTCGTGCCTCCCACCCTCCCAGAGCCAGAACCACTCGGGGGACACTGGCTGCCTTGTCCACGGTCCTGTCTGCTCTGAGGCCACCAGAGAGTTAAGGGGGGACACGGATCTCAGGGGCCAGCACCGTCTACCTGACTCAAACACCTGCTGGATGAGGATCCCCTCCACAGCCCCGCAGGCTCCTGGGACATCTCCAGACGACACAGCCACGGCTCTCTGGACCGAAGCGGACATAGTCTGAATTCCTGGGAAGGAGCAGCACGTGGGG